GAATGATAGATACCACGTGATGCATAAGTCTGTTTATAATGGATTACAGATGTGTATCTGACCTTATCAGATCATGCATCCTTCAATTAGTTTCTATATTTTGATTTATTTTAAGAATCATGTTTTAGGACTGATAAAAGTACAATTTTATTTGCATTCTCTAGAAGATATAGAGGCACTGTGTTGTGAATTTCAAGTGAAATTATATTTCACGTTCGTGGTGAGTGATTTATTTAATTAGTGAATCGCTTCATTGTGTAGGTAATTAACCAAACTTAATCAATATTCCTATGATGGAAACAGTTCTGAGATCATTTCTCAAGCAAATAAAGATATCTTGAAAACTGGAGGTAGTCTTTAGATGAATAAAGTACTTGAGATACAATTTTGAAATTACTGTCTGAACTGAACTTATGATAACAATACCCAAGAACTAGAGACTTACTGAATAATTATTTAAATCGTTAAAAGCATTTGTCTTCATCCAATTTCTATAGAATATATCTAATGCAACCCTGACATGAATAGTGCGAATAAACAGACAACGTCCAGCGGATTTATGCAGTTCTGACTGGAATGAAAATACTAATATGCCTATTAGATCATCATTTGAATTGACGAGATTTTGTCCTGCTTGTCTCAATAGCTTCGTGATAAGTAGGAAGTTTAGACGAATATTCAGTGCCATAGATTACCAGTACTTTTTCCCAATTGAAAATTGATAAATACATGTCTGAAGTCATTTCCACCCATGTCTTCAAATTTACAAATACTTGTCAAAGAAAATAAATTGGTGAGACAAAATGACGGGTCTGTATGTGCTTTACCGACACGTTCTTAAAAGTCGGAGATTTGGGAGCTTTACCAGAGTAAATTTATCAAAATTTAGTCATCTTGGATGGGGTACAAGGCGGATAATATAAACAAACTTGACGACCGTCAACAAGCATTATCTATTCAACGAATATGTAGATGATCAACAGTGCATAAAAATCCCAGCCACCATTCATCTTATGATTAACTCATGATCTTCCAGCATTTGAAATTAGTTGAAACGCAGATATCTTGAACATCTGCAATGTATTAAATATATTTTCAAAGCAAGAAGAATGCAGTTTTGGCTTATAGTTGTTAGAGAGGAAATAACTGCCGTGTCACACTTATTGATAGGTCTCGACTGTTTGCCTGCTAATATCTGCATTAGTCTTGACTATCTGTCAATTGAAGGTCAAACTATAGCTACTTTATCATGGTCAGATTTTTGTATATAAAGGGTTATCTTATTACATGGATCTTTTGGTTGTTGACTCTGGATATTACTAGGTAATATCCACAAGATCAGTGGGCAAATAGTTCGACTTTTTGAGATCATTTAAATTAGCTGTGGATTAGTTATTTGGCGATCAGATTGAGTCAGTAATGTTAAAATTATGAGTTTAGTATTCAGTTCAGTCACTCAGTCCCAACTGGACATCAATCCAGTGTTTGTACTCAAACAAACTACAACATCAGTACACCTCATTCACATCACTACAATGTATGCTACAACTTGCGAACAAGCAAAGTTATATAATCAGCTGAAAAGTGAATGATCTGTAGAGTCAAATTACAAACATGATAAGGGGGAAGTTGTATATCACTAATATTACAGAAAACCAAGTACTCCTGATTAAGTTTTAATGTATATAGTTTGGCTAAAAACGTTTTGACATCATCTAGACGATAAATGACGTAGTACTGGAATCCTCTTTCAGTATATTGTAGTCTAGTAATAGTAGTCATGACGCAAGACCTTATGAATGTTAGTGGGCATAACAACATTAGGGGTTCATTGGTGAATAGAAAAATTGTAATCATCGAGAATAAATCCTTTTACTCTATAGCCATAGGTTGAATTTCAAGTTAAAAATGAATTAGCAGGTTCCGAGATAGTCTTACAACGAACATATCACCTTTCCCTAGTTTCAGAAATATATTCATTCAACGTTTTGTAAGATATCCATTATGTATAAATGGAATTTCAGTTATGAATATTAACTACGTTTTACGTCAATCTAACTAGCAATGATAATGAATGACAGATCCCTGAGTTTTAATTAGTGACAAACAAGCAGGGGGAAGGACTGGTTTCACGTTTTGACCAATCAATTAAGTGTAAATTTGTCGTTTAAACTTCAAGACTCCTCACGTGAGATAAACAGAAAAGCTTAGTTGTCAATCCAAATGGAGTAGATACAGATCAAATATTGCCTAAGATCGATTATGTAGAATAAGATTTTCAAAAAAAATTTCATCGATTTTTTCAACTTTATTATCGACAGTTGCTCCATAAATAAGCCTTTATGTAATATCAGATAAGACAGTACATTGTAAGAATTGTGGCATATTAGAATTCGGAGTTCATTCTTCTTACAACTTGATATTCACAAGTATTGATCATCTGCGGTATTATTATGAATACATTCAGCATCAAAGCTGTCGTTACGGTGTGTGGAAGGTTAATGATAATTATTGCTGTCTGTCAATCACAGCTAGAAATATTACTCCGAAATAACTTAAAATGTGGCTAATCATCCAGTGGCCTGCTTGAGCCTTGGGGTATCAAATTTACCCATCGAACGTTTTTCATCAAATTCCTTCCTTTCAATTTGTTTTAATCATTCAAATACCTCCTTTGAACGTATCATGTATCATGCACATTTTAAAACTGTTTCCAACTCTTCGTTCCTCGAGTCAATAACAAAGCAGGGGAAAATATTACGTCATATGGAAATGGATGCTTCGGTATGAAGAAGTATATCGCATTTCTATCCGTCAGATGCTTAGCTTCAGTTACATATTTTCGTACCGTCTCAATGGACCACCACCACCACCACCAAAACTACGCTTGCACTTCTGTTGGTTTTTTTATTATGAACCGGATACCCATCCAGAACCAGCTGACTATTTCATATTATTGCCTTAAGTACTGTTATTACTAACATCATTCAGATGTTATAACCATTTCATCTGAAAGTATTGTTCTGGGAGCGAATTTGTTGAAAAATTACATGCCGAAAATTCCATACCGTCATACACGTTGTTTGCAATAAAGCGACTATTATTATCATTATTAAGGTTGGTTATCGAACGTACATCTGATAAGCACTGGGGGAAAAAATGATCAAGTAGACGATGAGGTTATGTAACACTCTACATGACCTTCAATCGGTTTCTGACCGATATCGATCCCTTGTCTTGTTACTAGCATCTAGACTATCTAAACAATGACTATGAAAAGGTATTCTGTCATTCACATTTAAAAATACGAAAGAAAACATTTGTCTCTTGATAATAAGTCATAAGTATGTAATAACTTGTTAAATTACATTTGCCTACTTATTATAGTAGTCAGTAGTCTTCAGTCGAAATTTTGAAAAACAATAAGGTGGAACATACAGAAGTTTGAAGTATTTTTGCATCAAAAAAATTATTTCCTCATAGTCAGTTAAGTAAAGCAAAGAACTGGATGCATGCAAACATATATAAAAACAGCTAAAACAAAGAGTAAATAGTTAAGTATTATACAAATAAAAAAGTAAAGATAAAGAAGAAGAAGAAGAAGGAAAGGACGATGACGGCGACGACGAAGAATTGCTTCTTGACACAGAAGAAAGATAATAAGGCAATATCGAAAATGAAAATCCTAGTCGAAAGTTGAAACAAGCTGTTACTTCGTTGTTTTTTAAGACATTGTCATAAAAAAAATTTAAGGCTCATTAGAGATAACCTATATAGAAAGAAAAAGAATACCTCAGTTAACTAGATCGAAACTGTTTGGATCTATGGAAAACGAGAAGTTAGAAAGAAGGATGAAACTAAAAAACAAACCATATATATATATATATTAGTATGTACATAGTGTATGCGGTTATCAATATACGGGTGTATATGCATATATTGACATAAAAGACAGGAAAGGAGCAGAGTGGATTGACTAACTAAATTGGTTATAAAAAGACATACAAAACTATGAAGCAATCCAACTGAAATACAATGAAGATATATAGTCACAGGAGATATTATGGTTGAGATGATTGCAAACTATTTACTATGTATACATATCATTAAAAAAGAGAATATTTGATGATTACATTCGATAGTTTAGTTATGCTAATAGTCAATCCACAGATAATGCCTATTGGTGGTCAGTGATACATACATACACACACACTCATGCATACATTGTATAAAAATGTGATAAATACTGTTAACAGAATGACAGCAAGTTATCAAAAGAAAACTAGACTATTTAATTTTTAGAAAAACGCTATCATCTTAAAGAAAAGGTTACTGCTTCATCGTTGACTTGTGTTCTCTCGACTCCAGAAGACAAGGAGAAAGAAAGAAAGAAAGAGAGAGAGATGTAAAGAGTGGTAGTTGTGCGCAAATAGATCTACAAATCACCACAATGATAATAAAAATGAAGAAAAAAAATAATAGACAATATAATGTGTTGATTACTAGTTATTAATTACATGGTATGGCAAACTAGTCGAATGGAATTTGATTGAATAATAGGCATATAACTAAATAACTAAGATATAAAAAGAGAAAATAGCTACAAGATAAAAGTTATGAAACTTTAGATACTGATGGATGATATACTCAAAATAGAACGAAGAAAACATACCTAAGATGAAAAGATAATCCCCGCTAGGCACATATGTGTCTGTGTGCGTGTGTATGCAAGTACACGTGTTGTGAGAGTAAAAGAACTCGAAAGAGGAGTGAGTGGTAATAAAGTAAAGTATTCAAGAATAGGAATACGAAAATTACAATAAGAGATCGTGAGTTCAATGACAAGAAAACATCACAATACTGAAGGGTTGTTGTATAAACATTGGTGTTCTCTTTAGTTTATGACGTATATATGTTAGATAGACATATATGAAAAGGAAGCAGTAGGTAAATTAGTCGGCACGTTTTTATCAATGAGATGAGATCATCTGCAAATACGATTACTGGAAGGTTGTCTTCTGGGTCGATCTGAAATCAACAACAACAAAAAAGTGTTAACCCCAGTCGAATTTAACTATTTCAAACAGTGATTATATTAAAGATGGTTAGTGCTTAGCAATGGAGCCCAGGACGCAAGTTTTATCCCATTTAAGACTCGTCAGCTGGATGTACCAGCATCCACATAGACTTGAACTCAGCATTCATCGCTTCAAACATCAAAGCGTGTCCTGGATTCCACAGCTAGCCACTATCAAGCAAATTACAATGTAATGATCTTTGATATGTTGATAACTGTTTACCGATAAGGCTATGAGTGTTTTGATAACTTCATTGTATTCTATGGTCGAAATTTTATAAATGGAGCTGTCTACATAATAAGTAGAGTCATTTTTAATGTAGATATCCAAATGAACTGGAAAAAACTAGAAGAGATTGAGGGTAGACTAATCAAAAACCAGACTAATCATCTAGTTCTGCAAAGAAAACAGGCTGTCTTAGATATGATCCTTAGTTGACGGAGGTAATTAGGTTCATTAACCGAGAAGTTACTTGTCAATGCTCGGCATCAAGTATAACACCAAGCAAGTATACTATTTTCCCTAGAGTTCTGAAAGTTTTATATGAACTGTTTTTAAAAACTCATAAATTTACTAGTGGCAATGAAATTCATCAAACATATCCGATAGTTGATATCGAAAACCTGATTCTTAAAAGCAACAACGGTTCGATCATAATGTTATATCGATGTTGATGATTAGCAAAGGAATCTAGGATGCATATTTCGTTCTATTTGGGGACTCGTCAGCTGGATGTACCTTCATCATAATGAGTGATTTTGTTCCCATTGAGATTCAAACCCAGTACCCTTCGCTTCAAACGTCAAAGCGTTGTCCATTAAGCCACTGGGACAGGATAGCCACATCTTGTACAACGGTATTAGTTGTTGCATTGATACCTATAATTCCCCGTTGCTATACCGGGACGAATTGCTCGACCTCTGTTGGCAAATGGGCTTCTCTATGCATTTCGATCACAATTTACTATTTATATCATGAACATACATGAGGAATCACTTTATTCAAAATACTTTAAAGCAATAAAGAACTTAGGTTTATTGAATATTATAACCAGAAGAAATCATTATTCAGTTAAACTATGTGATGAATTGATCACTCTGGTTATCATGAATAACTTATTACTAAGTACAGTTAATTTAAAATATACATTCCTAACTGAATGATAAACAGATGATGGATAATAGATAGAAATCATTTGATAAGTTGATTGAAGAAATTAGGTTCTAAACATCCAAAGATAAAAAGATATAAGAAGCATTTTATACTCAGTAATTACATCTAACGATAACTATTTTTCAGGAATGACCATTACACCATTGCAGTCAACATAAAGGATAAATCGTATCACTTACAGCATAGTATGCTACTCTCCCTCTCTAATTCAAGTAGATTTGAATTTGACTGAGAAGCCAGTGTAAATACGATCAAGCAATAGTAATGCATCAAGTATTCACATGATAGTCAGGCAAAACCATCGATGATTGAAGTGAAATTAAGATCTAGTCAACAGTCAGGATCTCGTAACTCAACTCATTGGGTCAGTAACCTGGAGATCACTAGTAAAAACCCTATTGCAGCCCAGATTTTCATTTTACTTTCAACCATCACCCAGTATCAGTACAAGTCTACCAAACCACGGCTAGTCAAACTAATAAACTATACTATCAAAAAAGATAATCAATCGCAAATAAGTGAGATTTGATAATTTGTAAGATTATCACCAAGATGATTTGATTTAAGAATGAAAGATATAATCAGAAATTCTTGATTATTGAATACTAGATATGTATATACGTTTCATAGTATTATATGAGATCTTATTAGAAAGAAAACTCCAGAATGTCTGATCAGAAAAGCAGTATGATGATGATAATAGTGAAGATGACTGACTGACTGACCGGCAAAATCAACATAGAACCTCGCATACAAGTTCATCTCAAGTTGTCACACTTCACAGTAGTATATAAAGAACGGGTGGATAGAAAAAGAGCGATATCAAAGTAAACAAAGTTGTGTGGGAGAATAAACAATTTGAAGATAAAGGTTGGTGCAAATATTCAAGTTTTAGAAGATACCAGAAAGTAAATACATCTGCGCTACTGTGGCTAATTTTCAGCCATATCACCAAGAATCCTTAATCACTGGTCCCTATTGTCTCGGGGACTCTAGACAGGCAGTTTACATGTGCCCACATTGCTCAAACCAGCAGTCAGGGGCTTCATCAACTAGTGCCACGGCCTGTTCTGGTCATCCTGAACCCTCTTCAAATCCAATCCAACTTCCTCTAGCAGGGCACGTCGAGACAGACAGTGGTTCAACATGTGGAGTACATGCCCAAGTCATATCAGTCGAATAAAGTTCACAACCTCATCAATCGACTTGCCCGTCTTGCCTAGTACAAGGAGACAAGAAATATATGGACAAACAGAACTTAAGGAAATATTACTTGAACTGCAAACAACCGGCAGTTGTTCTAGGCATCAGCAGTTTAAACCACAACAGTTATACTCACAGCAAATTTCATAATAAGACAGTTTAAAAAAACTAATATGTCAAACAAATGAACAATGAAATACGTTTGAAAGTAAACTAAAATATTATGCAAAAAAAGCACACAACAAGCAGCACCTTAAGGTTAATCTTAGTAGATAAATGCATAATGTACACCATGAGTATACATTTTAACAAGACTACTTGTAATAAGTAGACAGAAAACAGACCAAACTAATTGAATCCTTTAATTTACAGAATGTTATGACACACTGTACATTACTGAACGAATACAAACGAAACAGTACCAAAACTTGACCCCATTATGACATACAGTCTTTTTAATTCTAGGTAGTTGAAGTTACCTAAAAGGAAAGTTTGTTGGTGAGTGTTAATATATATATATATATATATATATATATATATATATATATATATATATATATATAGGGCTTCAGTAGCACATCGCCACCTCACTCCGTTCTTCGCAGTCTTTTCAACCTGAATCCACCACTCCCCATCACCTTTCATTTCTTCTTCACATCATCTCGTCCATGTCACCGTCGTCTAGCATGCCCAACTCGTCGTTTCCCATTTGGCTTCCACTCGACGGCCTAGCCTGACACATCATGTCCCCAAACAATCTTCTTAGTGTGTTTCCAATCCAATCCATCTCCACTTTCTTCCACTGCATATTTGTTGGTCGATAGGTTCTTGGTTGTTTCGTTACAAGACTATAGTTCATTGTGGCTTATTCTCATTATTCCGGCCATCTGATCTTTGGTGTCAGTATCGAGTGAGCGTAGGCGGCAGCTGTTGATCATGTATGTCTGTAGTTTGTTGGAAATGCTTTTCGTAACGCGCCAAGTCTCTCAACCATCACATAGAAGCTCTGACTTGCTTGACTGACATTAATGTTGAAAATTCGGATCTTGTTCATGCTTTATGCTGAGTGCATTGCAGTAGATCTCCACACTGATTATTAAAGATTAATACAGGAAAGTCTGTCTTGCTGTCTTTCCGATCCTGGCTTTGATGTCCTCATGTGTGCCACCACCTGTAGTTGAAACGATGCTGCCTAGGTAGAGAGGTAGGTGAAAGAGACTACTTCTCTATAGATTTCTCCTGTTCATGGTGACTGGCGTTTGTAAATGCTGTTATTGTTGTTGACTGGGTATCTTCACCGTCTCTGTCTTCTCTACGTTCACCTGAAGGAAGTCCCATCTTCCCTGCCATGTCTCCTCTGTCAACTTGTTGATTTTCACCTGTAGATCTTCGAGTTTGTGCGACAAGACATTAGCCATAAATCATCATCGGTGAAATTCAAATCTTCTTCTGAGGTATTTTCTTCGGTCCACCCAGAGTATGCCCATCTTCTCACTCCTCACAGTTGCCCGTTGCATGATCCAGCCCTATCCACCACAATCAGGAAGATCATCAGTGATGAGAGTAGACAACCGCATCTTCACTTACTCATGTCCCCTTTCTTCACTTCAAAGCCATCACTGAGCTTTCCATTGTCAACTACTTCGCATGTAGCATCATATAGCATATAGCTGTTGAATGAGATTCATAAAGGTTTGTGGTACTAAAACCGTAGTGTTGAAGTAGCGGCCTGCCAAATTACTTCTCGGTCGACACTGTCAAAGGCCTTTACAAAATCGATGAAGTTCAAGTAAACATCCAGTTGACTGCCATTCTATGCTCTGTTCTATGATGATGAGGCATAGCGTAGCGTTGCAATTTGATCTGCACATGATTTGTTCTTCTTGAAGCCAGCCACCCCCTTCCGGTCGAAATTTTCAATCAAGAGCATTGTTTAATCTCTCCAGAATGATGCGGCTTAATATTTTGCTTACTTGGTGTGGACAGGAACATGATTCCGCACCCGTTTCTTGCAAAGACTCAGGTCTCCCTTCTTTGGAAGCTTGACAATGTAGACCTTCTTCCAATCAGTCGCCAGGTTCCTTTCCTTCCATCCTCCCTCCCTTCCTTCCTTCCTTCCTTGCCAACCTTCCGCAACAGTGGTGTGAGCATGTCTGCTGCCGTTGTTGTCTCTGCATCTGTTTTCACTGCTTCTGGAGGAATTCCATCCGGTCTGCTGCTTTCCTGGATTTCAGCAACTCTATGACATTCACGACTTCAACTCTGCTTTTGTCGGAGGGTAAGTGTTCACTGATAGTTCTGTGATTGAGGTTCTGGTGGTATTTCTGGACAGATCATGATAAACACCTACAAATTCATGGGTCATATAGATAAATAGCCAGTAGGAAGATATATAGTAATCAACAGAAGACAAACAAGGTATGCATGCAAATCAATAGCAGGGATGTTGAACCATATTAATCTAGCATATCTTGTTGTTTGATTACATGAATAAGATGCCAGTTATTCCATATTTCGGATATCCGTTCATGCTTTTCAAGGGGACAGGGAAGCGGAGTAGCGGGTGTTATCAATTAACTTCATCAATAAAACATCAATTTACGCTTCATGAGTGATTATCTCTCAAAATATCATACTTCCATGAAAAAATTAAGTAATACCACTACTACTCATCAAGGGGGAAACCACGTTACAAGTTTCATTTTTGACAAATAACGATTCCACAAGGTTCTCAAAAACAGAGGTTGGCAAAATGAGCTTGAACGCATCATAGGTTAAGAGTTGAGGTGTCTAAATGTGATGCAAGTCCCATTTTCTTACAGACTACTGATTAGATCTAAAAGGTCCCAATGTTAAAATGTATAGATTGAACAGAGCTCACCTTCATCTGCTTCCTAATAAGCCACTAATAGGTAGCGTCTCAACCAATTACACAATTATAGTACGATATCACCTCATGAGGTCTCTAACTGTTGGTGTGAGCAGTGTAAGGTAACGTAAACTCCCAGCTTAGGGTCGGAGATTTAGAGATTCTAGATGATATGGTTCAGAATCGATCTCAGTGACGCAGATGTATTCACACCTCACATTTTATCTCCTCTTCTTTTCTCCCTATGACTCTCAAACTTTGATGATACTTTTTTTTCCTATTCCTCTACTTTTTGTCTTGATGCGACGTCTAGCAAGGCAGGTTGCCGCTTTGGGTCACATCAGTGTGTTTACAAGTTTACTTGTTCCTATGGAGCTAGTTATATAGGCTTGGTTGTATTGTGTTCTCTGAGCTAGGTAGGCCGCACAAAGCGCCCACTTCCCAAACGTATCTCTGAGCACTATCCTGCATGGCTATCGAGGGGAGAATGAAAAATTAGATCGTTACACAGTATTGTTGAGTCCCATGCTTTTAATGATTAACTTTAACTGCTGAATACAGAATTAGGTGATCAAGTGAAAGTTTAACCGAATGAATAACAGTGGGATAAATGGATTCGATCATGCTTCAAGCATAAGTCAATAAGGTAATTCACACAACAACAAAGAAAGAAGTGCAAAGACCATGAAGACGACAAAAATAACAAAGAACACTAGAAGATGAATCGATGATGATAAATCGATTAATTTGTAACTTCAATGACAAACTACGGTTACATTCTTTGTTCAACTATTCCAACGCAAGGAAACACATGCACGCACATACACTATGCATAATGTAAACTTATATGCATCATAAACAGACTTAGATAACAAATGATGGACAAAATAAATAAAGAGATAGGGAAATACAAATGCTAGCATGTTAGACAAGCAAGCGAGAAAGTAAAGAAAATGACGATTATATATATATATATGCATGCGCACGATGAGTTATTAGTTTAGGAGAAAGCAAATGTTAATAGTGAATGAAAATCATTCCGAGAATAAACCAACCTGACTACGTGCCTTTGACCTAAAGTTGTATTAAGAAGGAAAATAGTAACATTAATGAGAGGAAAATATTGGTCAGTAAACTGTTGGGTAGTAAATACAGGCGTGTCTCAAAAATGCCCCTCCCCTCTCACGCTCAGCTTTAACGTAATCCATGTTTCCCTAAGAGATTGAAACCAATGTCATAATTAGGAGGCATTAACAATGTCCAGTTTAACCTAAAACTATTTTTAATCAAAGTCTACTTTTTACTTAATAAATGGTTGTTTTATTTATAGGTGATTTAAGGCGGTTAGTAAAATGACATAGATCGAGGAATTTGTGAACAATGAGTAACCTATTTCATTCATTGTTTGAAATCTTCTGTTAATGAATACCCTCTTAGTTGCAGATAAAACGGACCCAGTATACCGCATAACGGTTAATTTACAATACTAAGTCATAGTTTTCTGATGTTATCATGAAGCTTTAATTCTCACAAATGACTCAGTTCATTCCACGAGTATCGATTCCATACACTTATCGCTTCAAATGAAGTTGGCAATGTAAACTAAATGACTACACTAGTTGGCAGTTCAGGCGATTTGATATTAGCCAAGAGATTGTTTGCAGGACTGTGATTAAGCATTGTTGAAGAATATTACAAGCACTTTTTAATAATTCTAAGCTTACAAATGGTTGTTTATACGATTTTAATCTGAAAAAGTTATCCATAAATCATGGTATTGAATGACATGGGTGGTTGAAAACCAACCATAGTATACCTCAGATCTCGCCAACTAGATCATAAGGAAGCTCCGATGCACTAATGACAGTGATATCTAGCACGACATTGAAACGTTTGCCGATCAAAACTGTAGCTCAGAGGACAACTCAATCTGGATATCTGCATCCTGAGATAAAAATATTCTTCATCAGGAATATTACATAGCCATTAAGAAAATACTATTACTGTAAATGGCGTTTCCATTTATCCATATAGAAGTGAAATGAACGGTATTTCATAAACTGATAGCTGATAATACTATAAAGAGTTGTGAATGCCCAAGAATAATAGGGATGATAATAATGTACACCTTTAAAACAAAAGATATAACCTACGCGGTTCAACAGAATTAAGATCATTAACAATTGGACGAACAATAGTTATGCCAGGACTAGCTGATGAAGCTCTAAAATTAGCATGATTACAATTTGATGAAAGTGTAGCCATTGTTCTTTGTGGAGGTTGTGGGCGTCCATTCGGTTGATAATGATCTGAATGTGGATGAGATTGAGCAGAAATAATTTTTAAAGATCCTTGATTATTCCCTTGTCTTGTCATGGATAAAACCTGTAGAAATAATGAAGTGAAACGACTGTAATGAGTGCCACGGATTAGAATGGATATAAGTAGTATATGTAGAGAGGCCGGCAGAAATCATAGGTAATTACCAGGAATGGTTAAATATTCAACCCAGAGAAACTCAAGAGACAATGTGAGCATATTGAGAGCAAGTCAAGATAGAAGAGGCAATTAAGCACATTGGGCAAATGATTGTCTTAGTGGAAAGTGTACAATATTTGATGACTACTGTAATAAACATTCCTTCCTACGTCTCAATCTTCTCTTTTCCTACAATACTACCAAAAAATATTGATAACTCTGTGTTTATCGACTACTTAAGTCCATAAATAAACATCATTCCCATTTTCATGAATAATCCGTAAACTGAAGTCTTATCTACTTAGTTCCCGATCATTATATTAATCTCTGACTGTCTGTTTTCTATCTGTGCTAGACGAATGATGATCATTTGATATCGAATTCCTTCTCACTTGAACATTTCTTTGAATTGAACTTCAATTTCCGCCTTCCAGTTAGGATGAATTCTCTTATTCCTAGTTTACTTTTAAAGAATCTAATCGAAATAACTTAATTTCTCTGGTTGGAAATTTTTTTACCAATTTCACTAAGAAAGTGTTCGGAGACGAAATTTACAAAAGAGCCTGAAGATAACAGCAGTCTAGTACTATACCACTACTACTACTACCACTAGATGCACTAATCAAGATCATGAATATGTCGAAAGCATAGAATCAATTCGTTAATATCAGACAATTCAGTTAGTTTTTGTTAGTCATAAAGTTGTATATGAAAACTTTTCTTGTAGGTTATTTATATATTGGTACTGTTGTAGTCAAGCGTTTGATCCATACAAGTGAACTTTCGACCAATTTGGTTTTATAAACTTTAATTTTTGGTTCTTTATGTCAATATATTCTCAAAACTGAAATATTAGTTTTCAACAGTGTATAGATGCTATTCTACAAAAAAAATATACGTACTGCATTCACATTCATATAATTACTGTACAATCAGGAAATAAAGTTGATACATTACAGAGCCAACGGGAAAGTATGTAAATGTTTCAGTAACATTGAAATTAACTAAGCTTTACTGTATTTACCTGCTGATAAGATGGTGGAGAAGGTCTTTGTTGTGTTCGTTGTTGTGGTGATTGGCAGACTGTAGAGGATTTATTTCTTTCAGGTGGTCTAGACTGTAGTTATTAGTATTAGTAGGCTCTGGACGTGAAGATGTAGATACGGATAATGAATAGTTTGCAGGCTGTTGGGAATATATATCAGATGGTTGTTTCGTATTAAATGATGGTGTTTCCAACTTAAGATTTTGAGCCTGTATCATCGAAATATGTCCACCTGGATGATGATTAAAATATCAGAAAAAAGTAAGATAACGAGTTCACACTAAATGATCGAGTTACCTTTGATAAATAGAGAAAAGTATTGGTTTCTGTTATACTGACTGAAGAAATAAAAATAGGAATCTCAAATAAATATGATGAGTCGTATTATTTTCTTATCTTAAAGGATAATTTTCTTAGTACTTATTTAATAGTATTATTGTATTGGTTGTATTGTGTTCTCATCAGCACTAACTTCATACTTCAGTATCAGCTACAAATATTTTCCACTATTTCAGTATTATTATTGTATAGCTCAACTCAAGAGCTTAGTATCCACTTTATATTGATCTTGACGACTAACAGAGGAATCTAGGATGCGTGTTTCGTCCTATTTAGGACTTGTCAGCTGGATGTACCTTCATCACAGTGAGTGATTTTGTTCCCATTGAAGGTCGAACCCAGTACCCTTTGCTTCAAACGCCAGAGCGTTATCCACTAAGCCACTGGGGTACGATAGCTTAGTTTCGACTTTTTACTTATTTCTGTACACTTTATGGGTCCGAAGTAATTGACTGTTAGGTAGGAAGGATGACCAATCCGTAGTTTGAAGTGCATATACCAGACAGTTCAATTCTATGCAGAATGAATAACGCACAGTCAAAGTCACAAACGAATTGGAAAAGCACATGATCAAAAGTTTATCAGGTTGTAGTTATAACAGTTATTACAGGAAGACACAAAAGGGATTTAAAAGTAAACATTCTGTCAGCTTAGAATGAGAAACTTAATCAATCTTTCAACATTAACCGGGGAGTTATAATTTGGGAACAGTCTATCTCGTGCACCTGTTGAGTAAGACACATAACTGATTTTCATACATGTTGTTCCCTTGATAAGTTTGAGGTGAACAAGAACGAACAGATTTGCAGAATAAAATGACACCATTTTATTTCAATGGTATTCATCGGTTGCAAACAATCTTATACTCAGAGGTTAAACTAAAAGAGGGGTTATCTAACACCGAGATTTTTAAGAAGAATAAATATTGTGAACTGTAGAAGAAAATATGCCGGAAAACTTAAACTTTGAACTGTTGAGGAGAAACCAGGCTTTTTTTTTATTATCTGACACTCAAGTGAGATGAAATATCAAAAGAGGATGGATGCACAAGTAGAAGGTGTACTGAAAAGAAACTTCCATTCAGTTAGGCTGATTTCACTTTACAACACCACATACCCACTGAGTTAATCCAAAGCAGATAAATAACTTTCGAATGTCACCTACAATTGTATTTACGAATTCATATGAACTTGTAGAATTAAGGATATAAGGAGGATTCAGAGAAAATTATCTGCTAGATTTTATGAGTAAGTTGTCAGAAACTTGTGATGGAAACTGTAAAATAAACAGTGTCTCTGAAGCCTTTAAGATAATAAATAAGATAAAATTCCCAAATTCACGGAAGCCCTTGTTATCTAGCATTTTAACTTGACTTGTGTACACAAAAAAGATTATGAATAATTTTTATCATTTGGTGTTATTTCGGTTACACGATGTATTCTTCGCTATCTGCTGAGCTTTGATAACAGATATTTTGATATTTTATGATTATGCATGTGCTCAAACACTTCTTAAATTGCTTAGGGACTCCTTTCCTTTAAAACCTTGCTCATTTGACACTCTCCCGTTTTACTGTACAAATCTAGGATTACCGACTATAATATGTTATTACTTACATTTGAAGGTTTGTGGGGAGTTATTTATTGATTTTAGGTTGGTATTCATTATGGAATGACATCAGCTAGGGGCACTGGACAGATGTTTCTCACTAGTATACAACTCTCGAGAAGTGCGCATCCATGACCCGCCTCACCAGAGGTCGAACCCAGGACCTTCGGTTCCACAGCCAGCACGTCACCACTGAACTATTAGGTCAGAATCCAATGGTTATGGATGCGCACTGCTCAAAAGTCCTATACTAGGACGAAACGCCTCTCCAGGGCTCCCAGGTTTTCAATTTTTCTCCAACTGATATCAGTTCATGATGAATAGCAACCTGGAAGCAATATGTAATTTTTACTTTATACTGTTTTTTCTCCGAGCTGGGTTGTTTAAGCTCAGAGAACACAATACAACCAAGACCGCCCACCTGAGCTACAAATATACTTCACTGTTTCTTTGCATCACTCTCGTTAGTGTCAAATTTAGGATTCAATTTTCTCTTTACATACGCTTAAAGTAGTATTTCATGTTATATCACCATATTTCATAAATATTCATAAGCTGTATATAGTCTAGAATTACAATAGTTATTAGAGCACACTTATACCAATATTTACTTCAAACTCTTGTACAATATCACACAAATTAATGTAAAATTAACTAGTCCAAAGTATCAAGAAAGCTAAAAATCATAATTAGTATACCAAAGTCATTGCTAATTTATGTGTTTTGTAACACAATGTTTAAGAACTGTACAGCGGAGATAAATGTAAGAAAAAGAACAATTGATATTAACTAACACCTCCCTACGCGACTCAAATCAATAGGCGTCTTCGTACCATTGCTCGCGTATGATGAAATCACCGTATGCGTAATGTCGAGGTCAGGCGAAAGGTACTAAGCAAGTTAGTCGATGAGGCAATGAACCTTCAGTGAATGAGGTGGGTAGAACATTTGTTACGTATAACGAGCCACTGCTTGGTTCGACATGCAATGCTAGGGGAAGTTGAATTGTGCTGAGAAAAGGTTCAGGGTGGCCAGACTTAGATATAATACCAGTGCATGGAATCTTTGACTATTGATTCAAGCCGTGCAGGGAGGTGTGGAATGGCTGGCTAGGGTCCCCAGGATGGTAAGAATCACTGGTTGAGGACTCTTAGTGACATGACTGAAAATTCATCACAATGTCGCAGATGTATTCACTCATTGATATCTTCTAAATCTTCAAATTGTTTATCCTTTCATACACCTTTTTCTACTTTGATATCAGTTTCTTTTATATCGACTTAGTTTTTGAATGTGAAGTTTGGCAACTTGGACCGATACACTTGTGAGCGAAGTTCTATATTGATTTTATCTGTTTGTCTGATGTGGTTGTACAACGCTATTAGTTAGTTTAAGCCACTTGTACAAAATATTATCCAGTTTCAAAATTTCTCGTGTACAATATTTAATTATCATTTCTCCTCAGAGGTTATGGCGAACAGAAAAGAGTCGACTGCTACACTATACAATTGAAGGCTAATGAGAAAATGAATGTCTTGTTGATGACAGAGATGACATAGGTTAGTGATTGTCAACCATATTCTGTGTCCATAATAAGGTTTTGATAAGAACCAGTCAACTAGGATGAGCAGAGTTGGGGAGGTAGGTGTAACATGTAATGTAAATAATTGCTTTATTTGTCGTAGTTTGATAAGATTTCGGCATGGATCAATCTTGAAGAACTAGCATACATTTCACAGGTCTTAAAATGACTCCAAAAACTATTCGGTCTCATTTGTTATTGATAAGGAAACTTCGTCAAATGCTGGCCTTTTAACTTATCAGTACTGAATCCTATGAATATTCTAAATCGCTCTGATTTCAGATACCGCAAAGACAAGTTATAAAAAAGACAAATTATTGAGAATAAAGAGTAGTATACACCATTGATGACTGTATTGTTGGATAATCAGTAAGGTAACAAGAATTGTAAACTAAATAATAAGTAATAGTAATCAATTTAAACTTACTCGGTCGCTGTTTACTACCAGGCGATAAATTATTTGCGATACGATAATTATTTTCATGACGAGTTATAGACGTATCGTGTTTCGGTGACTGTTGTACACGTTGTACATTGTCATTTTGAGGATGTCTTAGAGCAAGAGCTACTTCATATGGTGGTGGGCGAGTAGGCTTGGCATTTAAATCTGGAGGATTGAAAAGATACGAGACAGTGGAATTAATACAAACTGTAAGTACTGAATCGAAAGGTACAACCGTAAAAAAGTACCATCGCTGAAGTAAGAACGATAATAGTGTGTTGATTCTTAACAAGAAATAACTTACAAAGTTTTATTCTATTCTGGTTACAAATAAAAAATCTAGGATTTTGAAACGAAATGAATGAGTTGCTGAGGTGAGAAATAAGAAGCTGAGAGAGAAACCAGGAGTCACAGTGATGATTGAGTTAGGTGTACTTCAGTTATTCCTAAACAATTTAGTTATCATTGTTCATGAAAACGAATAAGGAGTCATTTTCAAGTAATTCAAACACCATTGTTCATTAGTGCACCGTTCGAGTAAGTCAGTAGATTTAAGTTAGCAATTAAAAATTATATTATTCGAGTAAAAAATTAATATAACGTGGCTACAAAGAGGATGCATAATGCAAAATAATAAGAAATTATGAAGACAGAATTGAGAAAATACAGAAATGGTTTATTAAAGAAGTAGCCCCCAAGATGCATCCGAAGAATTCGTTACTTTTGTCTTACTTTTCAGTGATAAGAGAAACAAGAAAACTGCAACTAACCGCTACTGGTTTCGATTTTGAGCCATGCCTATTATTTTATCAAGTCACTGAATTGCATGATTTCTCGGACTCCATTTAAGTCTTGAAATAGTAACAGACTGTAACCTGATACAACTATCCTTCATCCTATGGCACCGCACCATACTTCTTTTGACCAGTCTCAGGGGAAGCATACATACACACACGCCATCTCAGCTCAGAATTCATCATCATCAATATCAACATAGAACCATGCATTACTGAGTAACGGTCCCAGTTGCCACACCTCATATCAGTACATCAAGTAAAAAGGCAGTGAAGTGAAAGATGAAAATAAGAAAATTCAGTCAAAAGAAATATAAAGTACGAAAAGAGAGAAACGAGGAATGAGAAAGTGGTGAGATTCGGTATAGTGTTGTTAAGATGAGGATAATGTGTGTATACACCTGAGCCAGACATCGGTTCTCAGCCATCCCATCACACGGAGTCTCCAGCCACTGGTTCATCTTGTCCCACCGACCCCAACCACCTAGTCTGCATCGCCCCACATGGCTCAAACAAACAGTCAGAGACTTCATACATTGCTGCCATGTTTTAGTCTGGCCACCTCGGGCCTTCTTCCAGCCTGGACCTACTTCAGCCAACATTGTGTGGTGAGGCAATTGGTGACTAGGCATACATAACATGTGTCGGAGCCAACCATCTCAGTCGATGAAGGTTCACAGCCTCGTCAGCTGACTTACCTCTTCTCCCTAAAACTCTATACCTGACTTCTGCATTACTCACATGGTGACACCACGGAATACGTCCTATACCACGAAGGCGATGGTAGTCAAACACCTGAAGCCTTCTCATGTCTTCCACCTTCAATGGCCACGTTTCACAGCCATACAGTAGAACAGAGCGGACTGCTATGCAATACATGAGACTCTTAATAGACGAACGGATATCACAGCGGCGCCATAGGTGGCGTAAGTTGGCAAAACCCAACCGAGCTTTTCGTATCCGTGCACAGATTTAATCGGCCACTGACCCACCAGGGTTGATCCTACTTCCTAGGTAAGTGAAGTAGTCAACACACTCAACCACTTCACTTTCTAGAGCTCAGAATTACTTATAGTGTTTCAACCGGGTGCGACCGATCCTGCAGAGACAACATTGTAAAAAAAATGAGTTATCTGACATCCTCGTCCGAAGAGGTAAAGTTTCATAGAAATAAAATGAAACTATGAGGACTGGCATGTTGTATACTCGACCTTTTACAGAAAGGTCAACATCACGACAGCGCTAAAGGTGACTCAGATTGGTGAGTGCCACTTGGTTTTTGATATACGGTTACACCTCCAGCAGCATTCGCACAACTGACTACCCAGTTACATAAATTTTTGAGAACTTTCAGTGATTCCCCATCAAGGGTGAATGTGGATACGTGATCCTGCAAAACTTTTAGGAACGATCTGAGTAGTCTGTATACCATCATTTAGTAAGACGATAGAGTTCGCATACTCAGGGTTGAAAAGTCTTTCCCCTAGTAACGAGTCTACACCAACACCATGAACTTCATTCAGAGCTGTTTTGAGGATGTTATCGATGGCAAAGTTGAGAAGGAATGGTAAAATCAGACAGCTCTTTTTAATCCTAATGATGGTTTGAAACAGTGTAGAAGGGTTACGGTATATCTTCACTGCACTTGAGGTGTTGAAGTATAGGGTTTTCAAGGTGTGAATAAGCTTCTCAGGGACATTCCTCTATAAGAGAAATCTATGGGTACAACGCCGTCTAAAGAATTGAAGGCAAACATATTATATCCAGGAATACACTCATCGTTAACCTGAAATACATGTGATGGTGTTCGAGCACATGGTGGAGGGTGAGCACGTGGTCAATGCATCCACGACCTGAAGAAACCCGACCTGCTCCTTGGGGATCAGATTCTCACTTGCTTTTCACAGCCTGCAACGTATCGTAGCAATTAACACTGAAACACTTCCGGTAACAGACTAACATCTCGATGACTATCATATACATTATGTTGACCTTTGGACGATAGGAACAACAGTCGTTTTATTACAGTGATGAAATACTTTCAGTCTGCCATACCTTCCCAAAAAATGCAGTCAGTTCCCTTACTACAGTCTCGCCTTCATTCGTAAAACGTTCCAGGGGTAGTTTGTCTGGATTAGGTGCCGCCTTACAGCGCTTTAAGACTTGGAATTCCTTACAGAACTTCGCTTCTGTAGGTAGATCGGTGTTAATTGACCATGGATCACAAGAAGGTGAGGCTGATGTGGCTGGGGTAGTAGATCAGAAGAACTGCTTTTCGAAATGCTCCACCCGGTGTTCCAAGCATCTATGAAAGTTACTCATCGACGTACGACCTACTTCACAGACCTTCTCACTGACATCAGGGTTCTTACTGCTGGTGGCCCGGATGAGCTGGAACAGCTTCTAACTACAGTAAGATGCAGCAACTACTTCCATCTCACTCACGTGTTCTGACCGTCAGGCTTCACGGTCCTTACGCAAATGCTGTTTGATCTGTTGCGAACAGAACTTACGCTAATCACTGTGTTTAGTGCTTGTGGGATACACCGACAAACGTCACGAAGTTGCAAGGAACTCACGGCGAATAATCTCTAAGTCTTGATAGCCAAAAAATAAAGATGTTTTGTGACCCACAAAAAGCAAGTACATGAGTGATAATGAACACAAAACTTTACTTTCACTGCGTTCTTATGAAACATTCAAAACAAAGTGTATAGCTAATACGATAGCACTAATAGTAAAAATAGAGATTTTATCATTAGTAATCTAGTTTGAATCATACCTAGTTATAATCACTTTCAAATGATAGGAAAACTAAGCGATAAACTGTTCATTTTTGTTTGCAAAATACTAAAATACCTCACTAAGCAGTCATTGAGAAGATTTTTCTATTAAGATAACCGTCATTCTGATAAACATCCACACAATCATAAGATTAACAAGAATTATACAAGATATACCGTTTCCAAGTGACGACTTTACTGTTTACTCGTAAAGGTTCGAATAGATGTTCACACACCACCCTGTTTCCAATAGTTTTCTAGCTGATATCAATTCGTAATGAAAACTATTCTCAAATTAATCACTTCATTATAAAGCAAAATTTAACAGAAACTGGATGTTCATTAATGATCAATTTCGGTTAAATTTCTTAAAAATCTAGTGGGAAATGATAAATAGTGGGTTTTAACAAAACCAGGTTTTAGGACACTTATCCATAATGACAAAACATGATGATCATGTTATATTGAAAATTAACTGGGATCGGATACAGTGGCTGAACAGTAATACTCTTAAGATCAGATGTGAATATCTGGAGCTCCGGTGAAGAGTTTCAAACTGAGACGAATTAGGATAAAGCAAGAAAGACGAAATTTGCAGCATAAGATGATATCGTTTTATTTCACGAAAACTCTTCAGCTGCATACAGTTTTAAAGTGTATTGGTTATTAGTACATAAGATGACCAATAATCTTAAGTTGTATAACGAAATCACTGATGATCCATATAAGATATGAAACAGTTAATTGTGCAGAGGTAAGAAGTGTAATAAAAGAAAAAAATTAGAATGATAAGTAGAGTTATGCAATCAAAATGAAGATGAACCAGGATCAAGTCATATTCATCAAGGGAGTGAGAGATTAAACACACTCTCCTTCTGTAAATAGAGTGTCAGGTTGGTAACATTTTATTCCAATTGCTTCCGGGAAACTCACTAATCCAGATATTCTCAGTACGTTAATTATTTTAAAAGCACTCGAGGTTTCAACCTGATGTCTTGTGTCTACAAGGTGTCTAACAATTTCACTGGTTATATTTTTTACTTTCTTTCAAGCACAGATTGTTGGGAATGTGCTCAGCCAACCAAATGAGCGCCCTTCTCAATCCTTCCAATGTACTTCCTACTAAAAGTGCATGTGAATTCTTACAGTTGGAGGTGACATGAGAAGGGTAATTATCCAATTTTCACTGGTTTAGTGAGCATGTAGTATTGTATACTGATACAAGTTGAGCTGCTGATTTTGAAATATTTTATGTGCTAATAACTATTACACTTTTAGACTGTATGCAGTTGAAGAATATTCGTGAAATAAAACGATGATATCATCTTACTCGGTAGATTTTGTCCTTCCTGCTTTGTTCAAATTTATTAGGAGATCTAAGACAAATTAGGTAATTAGTGCTTTCTCGTCTTCTGTGGTGATATCACCTTGTGATGAAAACTATCTCCAAAAGACCGAAATAAACATCAGTACAAAAGGGTACACCTTGCCATCCTCCTGGATGGGTTAACTGTCAACTATGCTTAAAACATATCATCGCAACTAACCTTATTTTGTATCCCACATTCAAGTAAAGGATACATATTTATTTCTTTTTTACCACTAACTGCATAGTAGGGTAATAAAATCCTGATACAGATAGAGCAGTAACAAAGTGCTTTTCTAAGGTTAATTTGTAAACTATTGGTTTGTATTCAACTATGACTTTGATTTTCTGTTATCAGGTGAGCATATAAACACTAAAAAATCTCCAGCTAATGAAAATGGGTCAAGTAACAGAGAAATACCAGCCTAGTGTGTTTAAGAGATGTCTTTCCGAACGAAGTATAGAAAATCAAAAGAATGATATTAAGACTTACATTGTGGGTTTATTCTTTGTATAGTGGACTGTCTATAATGACGAGGTATAGATAACACCGGACCACCAATAGGATGCGTATTTGCAGTAGGATATAAGTAGTTCTCATCAGAGGTAAATGAAGCTAAATTTTGTTGTTGCTGTTGCTTTTGCTGTTGTAACGATGGTTGTTCTCTGGATCGAGCTGATGATACTGTCACCTGTTGGTTCTGTTGTGCAGTGTAGGATCCTCCGGTTGAATTAGGATGCCAATATGTACAAGACATTTGTTGTTGTGAGGAAATACCTTGACAAGATTGATGCGACCCCGTACAAACAGAATTCGACTTTGGTGTTGGACGAGGTCCAAAATGATTTGACCGGGACTGAAGGTTCTGTTGTTGTTGCTACAGAGGAAAGGACAAAGCATCTAATATTAGAAATTTATTCCATTTATTGACCAAAAGATGAAGTACAAAATATCAACAGAAAGATAAACAAAACTAACATAGCACCAGGCATTACAGAGTAACGGTCCTAGTTGCCACATCTAAATATCAGCATATCGAGCGAGAATCCACTAAGATGAAAGACATAGAAATAAAGAATGTAGTCAAAAATTATAGAAAGTCGTGATAAGATGACAAGGAATAAGAAAATACTGAATTCGATATGGCGATTAAGATGAGAATACATCGACTCTGAGCCATGCCACCTAGTCTCCAACCACTGGCTTAGAGTGTCATTTGGATTCTAACCGGGAAGTCCACATTCCCTTGCACGACCTGACCAACAGTCTAAGACTTCATGCAATGATGCCATATTTTATTCTGATCACCTCTAACCTCTTCCAGTCTAAAACTACTTCAGTCAACAGTATTTAATGAGGGAGGAGGTGACTAGGCATTCATAAAACAGGTCGCAGTCACCTCATTCGATGAAGGTTCACAACTTCATCAGTTGACTTCCGCTGGTGTCTGAGGTGGGGACTCCACGACACAACCTATGCTACGAAGGAAACGATGGTTAAATATCTAAAACTTTGTCATGTTTTCTACCTTTAATGGCTATATTTCACAACCACATAGCCGAACAGAGCCAACTGTAGTGCAGTAAGCCCGATTCTTAATAGCGAATTGGGTATCACTGTGGCGCCATAACCGGCGTAATTTGGTGAAAGCCAAGCGAACCTTTCGTACCTATGCAGAGATTTAGTCGGCCACTGACCCAGTAGGGTTGAACCGACTTTCTAGGTAAGTGAGGTGGTCAACCCACTCAACCATTTCAATTCCTATTGTTGGAAAGGGCACGACTGAAGACTAATCCTGGAGTAATAACTTGAATTTGGACGGCGAGAAACGCATTTCAAATATTATCAAACTGTCACTTAAGGTGTCCGTAAGACTCTACATCTTGTCAGGGTTTTCGAATAACAGGACTATGTCATCTGCGTACTCTAGATCTACTAAGGATTCTAATGTGATAAGATAAATCCCTGTGAACTCAGATGACGACAAGGAGACCTCAATAAGTATGCGCGTTTAAGTTGAATAAGAACGCAGAGAGTAGATATTCTTAACGGACACTAATCAACGTACATGTATTAACTGTATAAGTCTGTAAGCATCGTGTTGTAAGATGCATTTACCGTTTATGGATTTAAGTGCTTCAACTATTGTCAATAATGCATAATAGCTCATAATACAACAACAACAACTTGAATTACCTTCAGTTTTCGGACTCAATTGCTGGCATTGTTTATCGACAAAGTGAGTGCAACCGTCAAAGTTACTAAATGACACTTACTTAAATCAATAACACATCACTATTAGCATATTTCGATTACTCAATTTTTTCCTTCATATTGATAGACCCTAGAAAATTTAGATTCCCATTGGATATAATGACATTTCAGAAAGTTTTACTTTGAATTGATAGATTAACACGTCAGATTCCACGTTTTTTCAGTTGGGGAAATACAGAAAATATGCAGAGTTATGCATACATTCACTGTAAGACTTCAGCATCATATTTCAATCGGGGAATCTAGACACTGATTAGAATATATTTTCATAACTAAATATCCATCTGTTTTTAGTGCATATATAATATAACAGAATGACAATACAAAAGGCTACATATGTAAATGCAAAAATATTTAGGCATACTTGATAGTGATAATTTGTATTCTGATTGGTTGTTTGTACAACATATTGGTGTTTTGTTGTAGGCTGACTCCTATTATGAGGTGGAGATGCTGAAGCTTGGTGATAAGTTAAAGGATGATAATGAGGTTGTTGCAACTGCTGCTGAAGATGAGAAGGATGTCTTTGATTTGGCAGCAGGGCATAAATTTGATTTGATGCAGAATTAGCGTTCCCATTATTACTGCTACTACTATTATTCATATTAGGATTTCCTCCAGTCCCTGTTATCCGGGATGGCATTGGGATGAGATTATCTAGAAGTAGACTTTTACTCCCCATTGTACCTGCAGAAGTGGAATAACATCGTGCCCCCTGTGGATAACGAGGATGAGCATGGCTGTAATGATGATGGTGTAAGTGGTTAGAGCATGTGGAGATGACAACATTAGGATTTCCAGATGTAGAAGAAATCTGTGGGTTAGTTGACACTTGAATAAGATTGTTATGCATATGATGAGATGATGCATTATGATTGTTATGTGATTTTAACTGTCCAAATCCGATTCCAGCATATGATCCAAGCGGTGGTGTAATAAATATTGGTTGGTTAGCGTTAGTATTATTACTATTATGATTATGATGGTGGTTTGGAAATGTGAATGCTGGTAAGCGTCGCTGAGATGAACGTCTGCTATTTTCGCTTAGAGCTAATAACTTACGGGCATCTTCAATTGATTGTGCACCTAAAATTGGACGAGTAAATGTGCCACCTGAGACTGTAGATGCTGAACACGATGTTGTTATTGTTGTTGTTGGTGATGATGATGATACAGGACCTGTTGATGCAAATACAACTTTTGGTGAACATTTCTTGTTTGAATTTGTATCCACTGTGACAGGTTGCGCAGAATTTTTTGTAGACAACTTCGAATCTGTAAAACAGGAAATTATTAACAAAAGGAAATCAATTCAGTTATAAAACGAGAAAATAAATCACTTTAATTTTAGCTTTTTTCGATAATTAGGATGTACAAGAAGCTTGACAGTTAATCAATAAAAACAAGGTGCTACAGTTGAAGATGATAAGCTGGAAATTTTCAACTGAATTTTTATTAACTTGTGGAGACTCGTAGAGACTAATTGTTTCTTTTGCGAAATTTACTCAATAGAAAATACCATATTTCTTAGGGACTTAATAGTGTTTCAACAACCATTTATCAAGGTAGTTCAGTAAGAAAATCTATAAGTCAGAAGCTGAATCAATAATGCAAGAATTATATAAAATCTAGATATGAAATCCGAAAAGTTTTTCGTAGTAGATATTTACTCGTCAGTTACTATTTTACTTACATATTAGGTAGTATATAAACGAAATGCAAAATACAAAGCATAGTTGAACAGTCCACTCATCATTGCTATGCAGGGTCGAATTGACCGACCTCTGTTGATAGATGAGCTCCTACACGGATGCCTGAACAATACGTGCGAACTCATTATGTTGATGTCAATTTGGCGGTTAGCAGTAGAATCCAGGATGGGCGTATTGTTCCACTTGGGATTCGTCAGCTGATTGTACCTGGACCCTGGTGAGTGATGTTTTTCCCACAAACTCGGACCCAGTACTCATCGCTTCAAACGCGAAATTGCTATCCACTCACTGGGATGCAGGTATATCCAGTTGAAGAGTCCCAAAAAGGATGAAACGCATATCCTGGATCCCACTGCTAGCCACCAAGTAGACATCAATCCACTGACCAGTTACTAGAAAGTAACCGATGCTACTTTAACTAATCCTAGATGTATACTAAATTCTATCGATCAAGTTTGTAATGTAGCCATCGAGCCAACTGGTAACATCAGTTGACACCAATGAGTGTTTAATTTGGTCCTACAGAGAATAAGTTGACTCCCGAGTGACTTGGTGGCAACGTTTCTAGTTAGAGCACTGAGTGACACACGTTCAATTCGTTAAGCCTACCAGCTTTCCTTGTAATGAGGATACGTTTTGCTAGTTAGTGGCAATCAGTATAGAATTCACATTTAAAGTTTTTTGCTGGCTGCATTCAACTGCATAATATCAAATAACTCAGGAGTACTCTTATAAATGACAAATTATGGTAAAATAAATAAGTATAACTTAGTAACTGGATGCAACTTTGTAAAAAAATTATGAAGTCAACCAGTATTGCATTAAGGTAAAGCTATTCCAGTTGTTAAAAATGGTGGTGATTTCAATGGCTTAATTAGTTTGAAAAGTTTCCGTGAAATATTGAAACCAGCTAGGAGGATCGATTTACAATAAAATGCATAACTATTTCGTTCAGTATAAGATAACATTAATTCCATTTATTTGAGATCGAACCGTCGATTGAAAAGTTCTCCATGGGAAGAGTGGTGGGGCTTAAAAATAAATATTTGACATCGTTCAGTTTCAGTCGATTAACGATGACAAAATTAATATCCAAAGTAATTACTAAAAGGTACGTTGACTACATAGTAGTCGATGATTTATGGTAGTTTTTCAGCTGAAATCAATTCATGAAACTAATGAATACTTAATTATTTGAGAAAGTTGTTAAAACAAAGAAATGTGATAATAACATCACTGACAAGTCAACATGGGAAGTGTTTAACCATGGTGACTAAAAGTCTTTCAGAGACAAAATAAAGAGGTTATAGTTCAGATGCATAACAATGTAACGTTTAGAAAATGACTGCCAATTAATTCGCAGAAGATTTCATAAAAGCTTCCTTTAAGAATAAGTTTTTTCAAAATAGCTTGTTTTTACAGCTGAACTATTGACGATTGTTATTTCTTTAGTAGTTAAAGTGAAACAATATTCAAACCATCACTTTTAAGACCAACAATCTTGTATTTTACTAAGTGAACGATGAGATTTACACATGAAGCACATTTTAGTTTTTCTTCAACAACAGAACACAGATCAAATAAAGTGTTACAACTGAATCAGTGAAATAATAAGCTGGTTTGGTTATCTGAGAACCGCTTGTTGGGTCAGTCAAAAAGTTTTCATTCTATTTGAGACATTATTCATACATAAACTTCTGATTGTAGCAAATAAAGTTACTTTTGTATACTTGAATGGCTTATACGGACTGATTGGTTGGAGATTAGTTTTCATCATAGATTAGTATCAAATAAGAAACCAAGGGGTTACAGATAGTCATATGATTCTAATGTATCCAGAATTCGAATAAACTACGGTTAAACAATGTAGGGCGTATGATGTCAAACTCGATGAACTTATATGCACCTCACGTAAAACATAAACATCTTGGGTTCAATTATACTTACCTACTAGACAAGATTCCTAAATTAGGATGAAACAGATATTGAATGCTCATCAGTTCCCAAGTTTTTTTTATACCTAATATTAATTTATTATGAAAATCATCTTCTTAGGAAGGTTATTTCTGATAATATAATCAACGAAGCATAAAATTGAAAAATACCAATACACTATCACTTATTTTTATGTAGTTCGATAAACGAATTGAATAAGGCGCCTAATAATGGTAAAATATGACACACTAACAATAAAACAAATGCTATAGCACAAACTGACTATAAAATATATGAGTTTAGGTTTTTATTAAAATGATGATTGATTAATTAGATTGTATTTGTTCTAACTATTTCACAGAGAACCTACATCATCAGTAAAATAAACTCAAGTCTTATGGCATAAGGAGGGGGGGATGGGGGAAACCAAATTCTAGGAAATTCACTGACAACTGAGGAGTAGTGGCGTTTTATACCATCAAAGTAATGAAGATTTTATGAATAAAAATGTCTAGAAAATGGGTTGATCTATGTATCCATTTTAGGTTGGGAAAAAGGTTATACTCTTCCTTTCTTGTTCGATAAAAGTGTAAATAACTAAATATCTCCTTTAAAAAAAAAATAAGAAAGAAACAAGTTAAACATAAATCGACAAGTTCATTGCTATTCAAAAACTAGGTTGACTTCATTTTTCATTTTATGGATTTTAGGTTTATAGGGACTATATATATTTATCCTGAACATCCATTTATTGATAAATAAGTAAGAATTAGTTGATGATCTATGGGGGAAACGTTACAACTACACCTATATGTATAGTTGACATGAATGCATAAACATTTTAAAAATGTTAACTGTATCATTTTACACTTCAATGTGCATAGATTTTTATAAATACTTGATCGCTACATGAAATAAAATTCAGTCAAGTTATTATAAGCACATTAAGTAGACAGAAAATTATGGAGATCATCATTTGATAAGTGGTGTCAACTAATAATACTGACGTCAGTGGATAGAACGGATGACAAGACGTCCTCAGCAACTTCGTGGACATTCGTACAACAAGCAGCGAGCCAAACCCATTGTGTGAGCACTAGTGACACTATTTGCGTGCTTAAACCTTGGTAGGTGGAAAGGGGTTCGAATCCATGACCCCTTAAGTTGATAATCACCTCCCTAAACCCCTGAGCTACAGTTCCATGGTGACTAGAAAGACACCAGACATATGTCTTTCTAGTGCCTTGCGATCATTTTATGATGTGGTGCCAACAGCAGTAGAGTAGCTGTGTTGAATTACCATCCGTTGTTGAATGAGATCAAAGGGATTGTGTGGCATCAGTGAAATTATAATTTCATTGTACATTCTTTTAAAAGGTCACAGTACAGTGGTGAAAGCCTCGTGCTTTCTGATCAGTTTATTATGCTCCACTATTTTTTTCTTTTCACTTATATATTATAGTACAGTATATTTCCTATTACTACTCCGAATGTACCAATTTTGCGTTACAAAATAAACAATAGTAAAGCGTATTATGTGATTACTTCTCCTTTTACGATTATTCTGACGTTTTAAAAGTCTGTTCTCCACTAAATTTCATAATGTTTTTAGATTATCTTCACCAACTTTAATTTCTTCAAGTTATTAGAAACCTCATATAAAATATATTTAATCAGGTTGAAGATATAAGATAGGAGTGCTGAATTGCATACATCAATCAGTGGGTGGTGATATCTGTGCAGGCGTTCAAGCTTTAACCATTGGAATTGATGTCCAAACATCCCTTCTTATATTTTCAATTCCGAGCAATCAAATCTAAAGCAGACTATTTATAGCATCCATTAAACTATAGATATAATAGCTAAAAACACTGAAAGATGCAATTCAATAACAATATGTAGATCCTTGCATCAGGCTATGGAGTTACACTTGTTGTGTGACAACTGATGATACTATTTGGCTTCCCAAAATTCGATAAGTGGACTAAGGTCTAAACATAGTTCACCCATTGAATACCAGGAGAATAGAATGATCGAACTTAGTTGGTAAAAATCAACTAAGCTACTGTGATTAGTAGTATCTTTTTTGACACAAAACTGTTATAACGACAAATAATCTGACATGACTTAGATTTCGTTTACACGAACCAAGATGTCCATCACCATTTTGTTGTAACGATTAACGAATTTCTATGATTTAATATTTTATGCTTTAGCTGATATGACTGCAAAGTATATAACCTAGGCCAAGTCACATGATTCTGAATTTCAGCATACCTCACTACCTAAGTGTCACTGGACTTGTTACGGCTTACCTATGCTTGAGTCATCATCAAATGAATTGAACACAAATTATTTGCAACCCCTAAACTCCACCAGTCTTTCCCCCCTTTCAATATACTGAAGAAAACAAAGACGAAAGGCTATTCGTCGTTGTATTCTTTACGATTTAAGTCATATCGAACTGAACTACATGACTACAGAGAACCATAATTCATAAAAATGAAATATCTCATTTTATACATAGGAATTGGAAGGATGTATGAAACGATTTTCACCTAACATGTAAATCATTTTGCAACAGTGATTCAAACGGAATAGAGTGAGGAGTCAATAAGTAGATCTTAAGCTCAAACTATACAACACTACTATAAACACAAGTCTTAAGTAATTTGTCTTCTAAGATAAATAAAATAAGAATATCGATAATGTTTATCTGAGACTCTGATTTTCATTTCTTTAACCTGTTATAACAAGAACACAGTTGAAAAAAATCCACAAGAAAGAATACGAAGGTATTCATTACTACGATGATACAAACAAGTAGTTTTCAAGACAGTTTTCCCTCTTTATAAAATACTCCTTCGTAAGAAAATTTTATGACATGGGGATATTAACCCTCAATTCATTATACAGAATGTTCATCATAATAGAATGTAATCGGGTACAACTGTACAAGTGAATATAATAAACTATCAGTCATATGTAATATCGAAGTTGAGCAGTATTTGAAAAAAGTGATAAGACTTAACTCGGTACAGGTTTATGATAAAGGCTACAAGCCAGAAGGGAATAGCCAAAAATGAAGTGATAACGTATTAATTATCAGTAGACAACGAAGGATATAAACGCTTTATGTGCTCTACAGGGAAGAAAGTTGTCTATATGTGACAGAAGGGTTACAGTTTTATTTACCTATGAAATGATAAAGGGGAAACAACGAGTTGGGCGTCTGAGACGAGGGTGACATGGAGGAGATGATGTGAGGAAGAAATGAAAGCTTGTGGGCAGTCGTGGAGCGAGGTTCAAAAGACTGTAGAGAACAGAGTGCAATGGATGCGTGCTACTGAAGCCCTATGTTCCACCAGGAACCTAAGGGAAAAATAATAAATAATAATGAGATGATGGGAATACTATTCACCATAATAATATGCACGACTTTGCATAGTAATATAACAAAATTGCTAGTAGATAACAGTTGGGTATCAGATATCGATGAGTGATAACGATCAACAGGAACTTAATAATATGAATGATAATTATTCTGGGATTTAAATGATTCAATTTTCAAAAGCCATTAGGGTATACTTTCATCTAAAGTGTACAGTGGGTCAGATTTTACACTGTTGTGAACGTGAACACTTCAATTTCTATTATTACAGCAAAGACGGTGATGACAAAGATAATAACCACTTACCTTTCAACTCTGTAGTGTTGTCAGATGACAAACTGCATACATCAAGTTGTTGTAATTCATTCCCTCCACTTGTGGCGGAAGTTCCTCCTCCTGCAGTAGACGTTGTAAGGGGTTGCATAATTTTTGAATCTTTTGCTCCAGGCTCTAAACGTGTAGACATTTGAGACAGTAATTCTGGGTCTTGAACAACTTTTAAATTGGCTAAATAAGTACGAATACGTAAAGTCATAAGCCAACTTTCATAAATCTTTTTTGGATTGATTGAAGATGAGATTATGCCCAAGTTAGATCGTCTTCGGATACCTCCTCCTCCTCCTCCACCACCACCAGTACTTATGATAGGAGTAGGTATAGGCAAACCCAAGTTTAAATTTCCACTAGAAACAGAAGTTACAGAACTCCCTTGTTGATGATTACGCTTGTACCCAGCTGAGAAAATTGTAAGAAAAACAATGAGATGACAAATTTACAAATTATGGGAAGACCATGTAATAGATTATAACAATCCCTGATAAAACATCGTTAGTATATAGGGAACAAATAGTTCATTAGCAATACCTCAGACGTAATAAACAATTCATTGATGAACTCTCTTATACACATAGATCTTGGTATTAAAGCCAAGTTATAACCACTAACTGACTAAAACTATGGATGAACAACTGGTAGTTGTATTAGTCATTATAAAGTAGAAGATTTGTATCAATAACAACAACGTTGACAGTAGCGACAAAATATAAGGATGCAAAGAGGATAATTCATCATACACATTATTAACTTCTCTGTCTAGAATCCGAATTGGAATATGCTTATCAAACAATTTTAGTAGACTGTACCAATAGTAATTAGGACTTTAAAAAGGAGAATCTATCTTCCATTTACAAAGGGAGGTATAGAAAGAAGTTTCAATATACTATAAAGATACTTTAAATTACTGACGTATATGAAATCTTTAACTAAGAATATAACAAAATGATAGTTTTTCAGTATATCAAATCAAGCAAGGTAGAATCATTGGCGTAAATTTCTTAATGTTGTCACAGTTCGGATTCGCTATATGGACGATACTTTCGTCATCATTAAAAAAGATGATATGGAAAACACTCACAGTTTGATCAACAACGTTTTCAATGACATCAAACCTACAGTGGAGAAGGAGTCAAACAACCAACTACCACTCCTGGATGTTTTAGTCAGTAGGACAAATGTCGGGAAACAGGAAACCCAAGTGTACAGGAAGCCAACACACACTGATCAAATCCTCAACTACAGTACCAACAACCCAACAACGCACAAAATTGGTTGCGTAAAGACTATTCAAAAGAGCGAGAACACACTGCACTACAACAACTTCACGGAGAAACGAAGAAAATTACTTGATGTCCATCCTAAAAAAGAACCGCTACCCACGAAATTTTATCACAAGATGCCTATCCTGTACATCATCAACTACAAAGTCATAGACAGAAATCAATAAACGCATCATCTTACCATACATAAAGAACATATCAGAAATCACAACAAGATTACTGAGGCCACTTGGAATCGGTGTGGCTCATAAACCAAAAAATTCCCTCCGAACACTATTATGCAGACCAAAGGATGCGACAACCAAAGAAGACAAACCGAACATCATTTACAAAATCAACTGCAATAACTGTAGTCAACACTACATTAGACAAAGTGGTCATCCTCTTCACCGCCTACATGAACACTAGTTGGCTATTAAACTTCACGATATTTCATCAGTCATTTCAATGAACGTGGATAGCTGTAAACATGAATTCAAATTTGACATTGTAGACATTTTGGACAGAGGAAACACAAAGAATATCAGAGAATTCCTGGAAGCTTGGCATTCACATCATTCAGTCAGCAATCCATAGATGTATAGACATAGACCCAATCTATTAACCAATGAGTAAAATGACAAGCGACAGAAAGATCAGAGGTCAAGCAGAGGAACAGCCAACAGAAAAATCTATACAGTCGGTCAATGACAACAATCAAAGGAAACAACCAATCAAAAACCAGTTCGTTAGGGCGAGCTACCAAATCACTCATGGAGAGATATTGACAACTCACTTCATATTGAAGTTAGTGCTGATGATGTCGTCCAGAAAGATGATGGAAGCTTCACGATTAAACAATCCAGCTCAGAGAACACAATACAACTAAGTTACAAAGTGGTTTTCATTTACTTGCATAACATAAATGATGTTTTGTAATTTTTAACCCGATAGTATTTAGCTTTAATGAACTTTTGTGTATGAAATAATCTGATGGGCTGGAAGTAGGTGGAGTTTTCGTTATCCCACAGATAATTTGTTCTGAAGTTATGGAAAAGACTTTAGCTAAGGCTGAGGATGAGAGCTCGGCTATAGATCTGCACGCAATTACACACAACCACACAATAGGGTGGGATAGAGCGACAGTATTCATAACTAACTTGGGTGGAGGGTGGGAGAGATTGGTAATCGAATCTTTGTTCATGGAATCAAATATTAGAGAAATATTGAAGACTAGAAATCACTGGATAGTTTGGGCCTATTTAACTTTTATTCAGTAATTTGAAATGAACCTTCGGTGATAATAAAAGTTCTTTAAAGTATTTTATCATTGCCTTTTAACCAAGTATTTGCATTTTGTAAAATGATTTGAACAGAAATATGACAGACATAGAAACAAGAAGCGCTTACCGTTGGCACCGCTAGCGTTAACATTTGTATTACTGGCATTTGTAGTCGGATTGATGTCAAGGTTTGGTTTCTTTTCCCGATTTTGATGTTGTTGTTTGCTTTCATCAACAGTATTGAAGTTATTGAGTTTAACCTCGACTATATCATAATCTGACCAACTTGAATCTGCACCATTATTAGTATTATTATTAACCGAAGATGTAATATTGGAAAAGTATGATTTTGGATTAATTGATGAGACAGCAGCAACTGCTTTAACTGCACTTAAATTGACACCGGCACGTGTACGTCCACCGGTAACTCGATTACGTTGTGTAGTAGTACACAAATCATAATCCACATTACACATTCGACAAATAGCACGTACCTAATCAACATTGGGAATTGAATAAAGAGTAGAATATTAAATAAGTAGGCATAAAATATATTAGATAAATCAAAGGATATTTCATCAAACCATGTTTGTACACTTACGAGAAATTTTCAAACGAAATACTACAAGACAACACTTCGTTATTCAAGGTTATTTTGAACAAGATGAAGAATAGATGGTTATATATATATATATATATATATATATATATATATATATATATATACTTGAGGGTGTAAGCTTACACGCAAAAATCAATTCCTTCTGTTTTGCTTTATAGTTGACATCTTGAAAGTCAACTTTCATCTGACATTAGTCTATGATAATATCTTATCAGTTGTTGCCACTGAGTATCATTAATTTCGCCTGCGTAAATCTTTTTATTAGAGGCAAAAAAAATGTGTACATTAGTCTTCTGGAAGACTTGAAAACTATAAACGGTAGTGAATATAGTGATTAGATGAAAAGAAAAATAACAACAGAGATTATTTATACTGCTGCTTGCTTTATTAGTGTGATGAGTTAATTTTTGCTTGTTCCAGAAAAGCAAACAAATAAAAAGTTGTTGATTCACTTGAATAAAATGCTTAAATCACACAAAGACAAACTTATCTAAGCACAGAATAATTATCATAACAATCTAAACAGTCCTTTCTCATGTCAAATTTTCATCGAAAAGAATAAATCAATAATCACCAATAGATAAAACCAGAGTGCTAGGCTCATTTTAAGATTATCAATATTTTATAAATTTAATGGAAAGTAAACTATTCAGTAAAGGCATAATGGTGCTAGAGTGTGAACTTCATTAATCGTGTAAATGTAGAGCAGGGCGTAAGTATAGGACCCATTGATTAGAAGTAAATAGGGAGAGAGAGAGATACATCTAAACATTGATATTTTAAAACCAGAATGTCGTTAGTGATAAGACAATATCAGCCAATTGTATGTTAAATACACTAATCATTTCAATGAATTACCAATTGGGTAACTGCCTATTTGAATTTTCTAATAAGTTTGGAATAATTAAATCCAATTTTATATTGTATAAGTGAATCTGGCGTAAATAAAAACAACACCAAATGGTAGATTAAAAACAGTTTTACTTAAGTAGGTAAGGATGAAACATATGAGGATATTATGTGTGTATGAGAGAAAGATGCAACATGTTTTCGGTCCTCGAAATCAAAAACGATGGTTAGAAAGAGTGATTTAAAAGGTTACCCTATCAAGCACTGAAATAAACAATTGCGTAAGTAATTCTCGCATGTAATAACATCTAATTGGATATTTCAAAAGTTGTTAGAATGAACTTTACAATTACTCGTTCAAAATCTACAGATAACACTGCTGTTCATCAATTCCTTATTATGATGATATGAAATGTTGAAACTTGTATCGATATAAAATTGCTTCAAGTCCTAAATTTCTGATCTGTTTGACAAAAACATATGCTGACTGAATAAATTATGGTCTTTTCTATGTTAGTTTAAAATTTTAATTTAGAGGTTTATGGGATTTATTTATTGATTTTAGGTTGGCATTCATTGTGGACTCACATTAGTTGGAGAAACATTGGAGACCTGGTAGTATTGGTATGCGACTCCTCAGAAGTTCGTATGCATGACTCCGCCTCGCCAGAGATCGAACCCAAGACCTTTAGGTTCTACAGCCAGTACGTCACCATTGAACTACTAGGTCGGAATCCAGTGATCCATATTTCCTACTTCTGTGAGTTCACAACATAGCGCGACCTCCAGCCAATGCCATCGTTGAATAACTATCCTTATGTCCGACTTGGTTGGCCCTACCAGTCACGACTTCTTATTAGGACTTTAGGAATCACCTCTCGAAGCCAGTCACCAATAAGCACTAGATTAATTCAATTTGGGGGTTTTAGGGATTTCAGGTTTGTATGAAAGTAATTACCTATGTCAGAGAGTTGAGCTTTAGTGATACTGATTAAAAGCTATAGTGAAACATCAAGTAGAAGTTGGTCATAGTAACCAGTTCTTACAAGTGTTGTTTTCATATTATTTTAAGTTTATTTCAATAGATAAGTGAGGTAAATACTATCTTTAACGTATAAGAAAATACAAAGTATATGTAAGTACTATAGGAATACCAGTTTATACATTTCAGCTTGCTTAGCACGAATAACAATAATAATAAGTGTAGCTCAGTATTCATATTCAACTTTTATGTACTAACATATGAACAACACTTACTGTCAGACAGTCAAAAAATGAAATTCCCCTTACTCAAAAGGTGAGATAGATGGAACTGAACTTAAATTTACAACTGTCACTTGTAAACGATACCGAACATCATATTCACTGAAAGCATACCATTTTTTATCCAGTCTTATGTGTTGAACGGTTTGATCTTTAACAGAAGAAAGACCATGTTAACTCTTTTATGGATGAACTACAATCTCAAATATGACTGAAAATTTAGCTTGCTTATAATTAGTTTTAAAGGAAATGAAGCAGGAAAAAACAACAACAATAAGAACCGAAATAAGTAGTAATACTATGCATAAACTAACCTCTTTGGCAAGCATGCGTAACTTCACAAAATTGATCAGTCCATCAGGTGTACGAGAAGGATTACCCAAATGAATAAATGTCAGATCTTTTAATACTAGTGGTAAATATGGTAACATTGGTGCAGACGCATTATCCGTTGATATAAGAGAACGATAATGGTGAAAATTTCTAGATGTATCCAATACCATCTAAAATATTAAAATAAGGAGATGTAAACACTATGTGATAAAAATGGTATTTGCTTCATAAGTTTAAACAGGTAAACTCTATTGTTCTAATACCACTGCATTAACTACATAAACCGACAGCATAGAGAAGAAATACAACGCAGAATCTAGTACTGGAGTTGCAAAACTCTATAACAACAAAAAAAGGAAAAGCCAATAAAAGTTCAAAGATATTGAAATGAGCAAGAACAATGATATGAGTGAAAACGAAACAGAATAGATGAGTAGCAAAATGATGCTCACAAATTAATAGGCAAAAGAAATGAACATATCAATAGTCTGCTAGCATTTTGACTAACATGAGTAAGAAACTTTATATATGGATTAACCAGCAGTCAGTAACTTTGAAGGCTATCTCGTTTTTGTCTTGTCAAGTTTATTCTCTCAAACTGTATATCTTATCCCATTATGGTTCAATGTATGCAGTGCGTGTTCATATCACTTGATACCATGCACGTTTATAACCTCATCTTTTAGTATACTTGTTTTGACTAAAATTCCAGATCTAACTTCAACGATGATCACTCACTGCTTTTATTCACATGGAAAAAGTGCTAGAGTAAAGGTAAACACTTTAAACTTTTCATCTCCGCCAACTATATACCATTAAGAAATAAACGCAAAAAGAAAACTGTTGCGTAATAAACAATACTGGTTAACGTATTTCACTTTCAAACACTGAGTCTCAGGTTCGAATACTGCTTCAACAAATTCATTTTGCGCAAAACGGGTAGTATTACACACAGGTACATAAGCTTGTATTGAGTTCCTGAATTGCCATACATCACATCGAACTCACCCTTTGATCGTTGAATATTTTGCATACTTAGTAAATGATGGTTAGTTCTGAAGAAACTATCGATACGTCAAAAGAATGAAAAATTTTCTTAAATAAGAAAGCCAACTATGCTATTCAAAATATGAAATGTATTTTACTTGAGACATATATTAACTAACAACGTAAACTTCAAACATTGCGGATGCATATTAACAAAATATGAAAAAACTAAATCGACTCACAGGAAAATATTATTAACCTTATCATTTATAAATCAACCTTTTCAGACAGTGTAGTGGACTCCCTGAATCAAGAAGTGGATGTGTGTGTGTGTCACACACACATACACACACACAAAGTAAAGCGTAAATGAAAGTAGGCAATGTCATAAAAAACGACCATTTCTACAATCTACGATTCCCACTTTGTCTACGAACGATAAATTTTATTCCATTTATGAAAAAAAGAAGTGGCTGAAAAAAAGTTTGAATAAAGCTAACTTTGATGTCTAAAAAAGAGTGTGATAGGAAACGTTAACAGATATGGCAGTTTTACATTGCAATAAACAGAGAAAGTTCTAAACATTCAATACAATTTTCTGACAATATCTATTACCAAGACAAGTCTTAAAGTCTTGAATTTTTGCATGCTATAGCTAGTACAATCAGTGGGTTATTTCCTTACACTGAAAATTTACCTTTCAAAAGTCTACCAACAGAATGAATGAGAAGTGTCAAAAAATCTCTGTTCATCATTAACTCTATATTCAGAAAGAGGATTTCATAATTTAAAGTGTACTTTCGTATAGTTTTCTACAATATAATGTTATTTCTTTCATTTTTAAACTTCACAGTTTAAGTTGTTTCGCTAAACTAAAAAAAAATGTAATACTAAGAATGATGTTTTCTTGGTGTACAGTATGGTGGTGTTGTGACAAAACATTGGGAAGTCCATTTTTTGCCAGATATTTTATCTGAAGAAATGAGAAAACAGTTACCGGAAAAATGTGATTAGTGGGCTGGAATCCTACTACTTTTAATGTTTATAAGTAGTAAGGACGGTAAGAAGTATATGTTAGTTACATCATGGCGGTTAGTGAGTTTGTTACACGAAAATATTATTATCAATAAAGATACAAACCAGCATAGGCATCAGTTGTAGAAATGCTGCACAAATTTACCAATTAAAGACAAGAGAACTTAGCGTCTCGTTGTATTGAGGAATAATGCTGATTTGCATAATACAGAACTGGTATGATTAGGTTTTTCAGGCACATATTGCTGATGCAAAAGAACACTTATATAGACTAGGTACAGAACTTCCTACCTATTGAATTTAACTGTCCAACTACAGGATTATAATGAAGACCAGAATACACTAAACTAGGAGAGAACATTCAGTTAATATAAATATGAAACTGCATTATTGTCTAACGATGCACATTGCGATAGTTCCAGTAGTACATCAAGATACAAAGTAGCAAGGATGGTATTGTTGAGAACGAATAGTTTCTAGGTTGAGGAAGAGCACTGTGGACATGAACTACTAAAAGTGACACAGTCACATGTGAACTTGAGAGTTTAATTGCTTGTGTGTAAACATTTTTGGTGAGTGTTTTTTTTTGTCATTTTGCAGAGATGGTATGGAGAATTCGAGTGCTACATATTCATGTCCTATGCTTAGTTAAGAGGCAGGGAACGACACAAAATAAAATCAAGCTTAAAGTAAACCTATGCCATCTGGTTTTTCACTTAAGTGAAATTTGTAACAATATGGGGTCTGACCATTGAGTGATTGCTGAAAAACTGATTCGTTTCAAGTATTTTTCATTGTGTTTAACTGACATCAATCAGTTATGAAAACTATCTTTAAGTCACTGACTGGCTGGCAAAATTAACTTAGAGCCTTGAACGCAGGTGCACTAGTTCAACTTGCCACATTTCACAGTGGTAAAAAAAAGAACAGGAAGATAGAAAGGGGGTGATATCCAAGAAGATAAAGTAGTGTAAGAGAATAAACAATTTGTAGATAATGGCTAGTTCGGCTATCCAAGTTTTAGGAGATACCAAGGAGTAAATACAACTGTGCTATTGTGACCGATCTTCAAACATGTCACCAAAAGTCCTCAACCACTTATTCCTATCGTCTCGGGGACCCAAACCAGACAGTCAAAATTTCCCCACAGGACTAAGATCAGCCGTTAAGGACTTCATCGATTTGTCACGTCTACGTCTAATTACTCTAAACCCTCTCCTAACCTAATCTGACTTCCTCCAGCATGGCAAGTTGAAGTAGGTGATGTCTCAGCACGCCCACTACATGTCAAAGCCATCTCAGTCGACTAAGGTTCACTACCTCATCAATCGACTTGTCGGCCTTTCTTGCCCAGTACCATTCCCCTCACCTCAACATTGCTTACATGGTGATTTCACCAAACGCAAGCAATGCAAAGAAAATATCTGTGATCGAAACCCCGTAATCACTTCATGTCTCCTCCTTTTAACAGCCATGTCTTACAGTAGTACAAAAGGACAGAACGGACTGCAGTACAGTATACTCATCCTTCGGTCGAATATCTCATCAGTCAGCGCCAAAGGTGATTCAAGTTATCAAATGCCAAACATGTCTTCTGTATCCGAGCTCAGATTTCATCAGTAACCAGCCAGTTCGAGCTGATCCAACTCCCAAGCAAGTGAAGTGCTCGACATATGCTATCACTTCATTCTCTGTCCCTAGACCAGGAGTGGCTGCACACCAGTTCTGAAGCATCATCTTACATTTGACAGGTGCCAGAGAAACGCATGCCAAACATACTCAGATTTCTGGTCAATGCATTCAGAAGACCCTCCAATATGGCAGCGTTTTCACATAGCAGGACAATATCGTCTGCATACTCCAAGTCAACCAGATGACTTCCGGGGAGTAGGTCACTGCTTGTATAGTCAGAGGTGCTTAAGGTTATGTCCATTAGTACGTCTACGACGAAGCTAATTGGGAACGGTAACAGTGGACATCTCTGGTGGACACCACTAGTTGTCGTTGGTTTGGGTGACAACTCTTCATAAGTACTTACACGGCTGCGTGAGTTTTAGCAGAGAGCTTTGATTAGCGTTATATTTTTGTGAACATATAAATAAAACTAATTTTCAAATTCTTATGATTTCTTCTATAGGCTTTTTACTACTTTATTCGACAAATGATATCAAGGTAGACAGTGACACAACATGAAGACAAATATCTTGATGAAAGACCCCTAACCACTTAACTGATGCTGTCTACTGTTTGGATTATCCTTCGTTATAAAAACAAACCGATGAAGATATATGATTTGCATATTTTATTTGCATGTCGCTACCATCAAGGTATTACTTGATTGTCAAGTTCACAGATAGGACACAACAATTAACAGATGTTTTATCGTTTTGCAGTACACAGACACAGATAAACGCATAAAACTAAATCGTGGTGATTAAAGAAACAAAATAACTTGCGTCACACATTTGGTTGCGATTTCATTTTTCACTATTGAATTGAAATATCTATTCCCCTTCTTATTCATTTAGACAAACGATACTTCACATATAAAAGTAAAACACACCTCCTTGTAATGCAAGGCGAGTTAACACACAGATCATCATCATCTCAACAAAGGACCAGGTATTATTGCGTAACGGTCAAAGTTGTCACATCTCATATCAGCATATCAAGTAACAAGGCAATAAAATGGAATATGAAGAAGGAAGGTAAATCGGTCAAAGGAGGTAGAAGTGGGAAGTAATAAAAGAGAAGAAAGAATGAGATGATGGGGTTGAGTATAGCGGTTAAGATGAGTATAATATATGTATGCACCTGCACCATTGACATCGGTTCTGAACCATATCACCTAAAGTCTCCAACCACTGGCTTCTCTTGTCCCATGAAACCCAACTGGCTAGTCTGTATCGCCCTACGTGTCTCAAGCGAACAATTAAGGACTTCATGCACTGATGCTATGTTTTGGTCTGGCCGCCCCGAGAATCTTTCCAGTCTGAACCCATTTCGGCCGACATTGTGCTACGAGGTAGACAGTGGCTAAGGATACGTTGCACATGTCCCAGCCACCTCAGTCGATGAAGGTTCACAACTACATCAAGTGTCTTATCACTCCTGCCTAAAACTCTACGCCTGACTTCTGCGTTACTCA